TGGAGCAGCTGCGGATGCTGGCGCTGGAGGTTCTCGAGCTGTTGGAGGTGCTGGCGCTGAGGGTTCTAAGTCTGCTGTTGCACGGTCTCCTTGGAGTAGCCGCCTTCGTCCGTGTATGCCTCTCACCTCACAGCAGCTTCACGACTGGTACGGTTGCCGTCAGGGTCGCGCTTCTGGAGCTCGGGGCTCCGCCGCTGGAGGTACTTCTGTTGACGTCACTGGAAATGGGAGTGGTGCTGGTCCCGGAGGTGCTCGTACTGGAGGTACTGGAGCTGCTGGGGCTGGAGGTGCTGAGCCTGAGGGTGCTACTGCTGGAGACCCTGGGTCTGGGGGTGCTGCTGCTGGAGACACTGAGGTTGGAGACCCTAGGACTGGAGGTGCCGGTTCTGGGGGTGCTGCTGCTGGAGCTGGTCCTAGAGGAGCTGGCGCTGAGGGTTCTAGAGTTGCTGGAGGTGCTGGAGCAGCTGGGGGTGCTGGAGTTGCTGGTGCTGGTGGCACTGCACAACGGTGCCTGTTCTTTGCTCCACCGTCTCCGTCGTCTCAGCCACCGCCTGACTCTGTGCTTCGCCAGGTTCGTAGTCTCCCTTCGTCTACTGGTCTTCCGTTACAGCCTGGCTCACCGCTGCTTGCTCCTTCTCTTTACACTGAGCAGACAGGGGGTCTTACTGAGCGTCGTGAGTCTGCGTCGCGTCCTATCTCGCCTGTCCGTTCTGGTCGTTCCGATCGTAGTGTTCCTCGTCATCGTCAGCCGGCTGTCCCCGGCACCCACCTCGTAGTCCGTCGTCCTTTCTCTCCTCCACAGCGTGTTCCTCTGCCGACTCCTCCTCCGTCTTCTCTACCTACCGTTCCAGAGCCTGCATCCGACCGCGCCCGTGCTGCTCACCCTACTATCACGCGTCTGCTAGTCACAGTTATCATTGACCCGTCGTTTGAGTCTGCTGCTGCGTCTGCCTTAGTCGTTGAGCTTGTTGACTTTGCTGCTGCCTGTCGTCTAGACTACGTCTGCGACTAGTCTTGTTGCTGAGTCTGGGTCTGTCTGTCCTCCGTCCGTCGAGGGTGAGTGTGCTCTTGGCACGGACGTCCTTGAGGACAGGTAGGAGGACCTTGAGTGTCTTGCAGCCGCTGGGCCTCATCTCGTGTCCATGCTGCTTGCCCCTGAGGGAGACCCGGATGCTCCAGACATCCCGACCCCGCGCTCTTACGCTGAGGCGATCGCGGGTGAGTACTCCTCTCAGGGGCAGACAGCCATGGACGCAGAGATGGCATCTCGGAAGTCCACAGGCACCTACGTCGACGAGGTTCCCTCTCCTGGGGCGAACATCGTCAGTGGCATGTGGATTTTCAGGGTGAAGCGGCCGCCAGGTTCTCCGCCTGTCTTCAAGGCTTGTTACGTTGCTCGAGGTTTCAGTCAGCGAGAGGGAGTTGACTTCTTCCAGAATTTCTCCCCCACCCCAAAGATGACCACTCTTCGGGTGCTGCTGCACATTGCCGCTCAGCGTGACTACGAGCTTCACTCTCTTGACTTCAGCACAGCTTTCTTACAGGGCAGCCTGCACGAGGAGATCTGGCTGCACCGCCCTCCTGGCTTCACTGGGTCGTTCCCTCCTGGTACCCAGTGGAGCCTCCGGCGGCGGGTCTACGGTCTTTGCCAGGCGCCACGTGAGTGGCACGACACAGTGAGGACGACTCTTGCTGCTCTTGGGTTTGCTCTGTCGACTGCTGACCCGTCGCTGTTTCTGCGCGCCGACACTTCGCTGCCGCCGTTCTACATCCTCGTGTATGTCGACGACTTGGTCTTTGCCATTGCTGACACAGAGGCTCTCGCCCTGGTGAAGTCCGAGCTACAGAAGAGACACACGTGCACAGACCTGGGTGAGCTGCGCAGTTACCTTGGCTTGCAGATCACCCGGGACAGAGCACGCCGCACCATTACCTTGACTCGGTCACACATGGTGCAACAGGTCCTTCAGCGTTTCGGCTTCACCTGGTCCTCGGCACAGGCCACTCCTCTGGTTACAGGTCACTCGCTCTCAGCTCCACCTTCGGACGAGTCCGTGGAGCCGAGTGGTCCTTACCCAGAGCTAGTGGGCTGCCTCATGTACCTGATGACCTGCACTCGTCCTGACCCTGCGTACCGTCTTGGCTTTCTGGCTCGCTACGTGGCTCCTGGTAGGCACCGAAAGGTGCACATGGATGCCGTTAAGAGGGTAATGCGCTACTTGTGCAGTACATCGGGCATGTGGCTTGTGCTTGGAGGACGGGGCGACGTTGTCGTCACTAGGCACTCGGACTCTTCTTGGGTTGACGACCTTGCTACGCAGCGGTCGTCACAGGGTTACACCTTCAGCCTTGGCTCTGGCTCTGTTTCTTGGTGGTGTACACGCTCGTCCTCTGTTCTCGGCTCCAGTTGTGAGGCTGAGATCTACGCCACAGCCATGGCTGCACAGGAGTTACGCTGGCTTACCTACCTGCTGAACGACCTGGGAGAGCGGCCTCGTTCTCCTCCAGTTCTGTACGTAGACAACAAGGCCGCCATTGCCCTGTGTCAGGAGCACAGACTGGAGCACAGAACAAAGCACATCGCTCTGCATTACTTCCTTGCTCGAGAGTTGCAGCAGCGTGGTCAGCTTCGTCTTGCTCACGTGGCCACTCGGGCCAACACTGCTGATATATTCACCAAGGCACTTCGGTCTGGTGATCATCAGCGTTTTTGTATTTTGTTAGGCCTTGTGCCCACGTTTCCTCACTTGCTGTAGACTTTTCTTGTACTGTGATCTATATATATATACCTGCATGCTTGCTCTGCTACTTTTCTTGTACTGTGATCTATATATATATACCTGCATGTTTGCTCTGCTAGGTAGAGATCACTGTGCTGTTGTTGTTGCATATATATCTATGCATGTGAACTGGCCTTGTGGCCGTTTGCTTGTGCAGAGTGTGAGTAGTGACGTTGTGATCCACCCTGAGGTTGCTTTGGTTCTTTTGACTGGTCTTGTGACCACTTGCTCTCCCCCACTTTGCCTATGGGGGTGTGTGAAAGTATATGCATGTTATATATGTGTAGGCTGTAGTGGGGTAGCTAACATGGGGTACAGTAAGTTTAGGGTTTCATACTTGTACCCATCTCTTTCATAGTTCATCCATTCCTGCTACTAGATTCTAACACAGGACGCCAGTAGGTAGTGCCAGCACTAGGGCCGGTCATGATCTGGTACTGGCAGGGGCCGACGTCGCGGCCACCGCGACGAGCCCCCAAGCTGGCTGGGCCGCTGCTGCACCCAACGCTACTCGAACCACCAGCCCCCCACGGCTGCTGAGGGCGCCACAACTGCTGAGGGCGGAGCTGCTGCTGAGGGCGCCACTGCAGCTGCAGGTGCCACTGCTGAAACTGCCGTTGTTGCTGTCCCTACTGCTTGAGAACCCTAGTGGACGCCATGATAAATGCCAGGAGCGTCAGGAGCTAGGGACGGCTGCAGTGAAACAACGAGAACAACTAGGAGCGCCAGGTGAAACTAGGCGAGGAGCGGCTGGAACACGGAGCAAACTAAGCTAGGAGCGAGGAGCGAAAACGACTGGAGCTAGGCACGGCTGGAGCTAGGAGTGGCTGGAGCTAGAACGGCTGGAGCTAGAGACAGTAAGTGCGGCTGTCGGCTGCCGCTAGTAGAGCCAATGGCAGTGGAAAGTACGTGCGACAGTTAGGGCTGCAGTACTGACGGCTGCGGTATATAGGGAACTGTGCAAGTCATCCGGCAAGCAGGAATGCGGGCGACAGTTGCAGTAGTCTAGGGGAAGGGCGACGCGAGGGCTAGGGGCAGGGCGCACGGGTGCGCACGGGCTAGGGGCAGTGCGCACGGACGACGTGATGGGCTGGGGTAGGGCGCATGGGCGACGTGACGGGCTGGGGCAGGGCGCACGGGCTACGCGACGGGCTAGGGCAGGGCGCACGGGCTACGCGACGGGTTAGGGCAGGGCGTACGGGCGACGCGACGGGATGGGGCAGGGGCCACGGGCGACGCGATGGGCTGGGGCGGAGGCGCGATACGGAGGGCGCGTAGGGGAGGGCTAGGCGCGGAGGCGCGGATGGCGCGTTACGGAGGGCGCGGAGGGCACGTTACGGAGGGCGCGGAGGTCGCAGAGGGCACGTTGCGGAGGGCGCGTTGCGGGAGGCTAGGGCGCGGAGGGTGCTAGGGCGCGGAGGGCGCTAGGGCACGTGACAGAGGGCGCGTAAGGCGCAGAGACGCTCTAGAGCGCGGAGGGCGCGAGGGCGCGGAGGGCGCTAGGGCGCGTGACGGGGGGCGCGTAAGGCACGGAGGCACTCTAGGGCGCGAGGTAGGCTAGGCTAGGCAAGGATGCTAAACCTACAAGTGTTGTACTCCCTAGTGCTACTCACTGTAGCCTAAGCACATATAACAACATTTGACACGTTTACAGGTTGAAAAATTTGTCAACCTTACAGCTTCCAAGATAGTACACATGCGGTTACGGTATGATTGGTGGTGGTTGTGCAATGTGCAAGAAGCCTGCCCAACCCTTGAAAAAACGTCTTATCTCAGAGATCTTACACTTTGGAAATGATGGCAGTTTCGGGGGTGGTGGTGCAAGAAGCTTGTTCAACAGTTGAAAAACTGTTGCGAGACTGTAAAAAATGGGCCTTTATCCATCTGTATGTTTACCAGAAGATCATTATAATACTGTAGATGGTGGTGCAAGAAGCCGGGTCAAGGCTGGCGGGGATGGCCCAAACACGTCTTCAGGCAGATAAAAGGGTAGGTTCAGCCTCTGATAGGAGAGAAGGTAGAGAACGCGGTAGAGGGCGCCACATCAGAGGGCGCCACATCAGAGGGCGCCACATCAGAGGGCGCCACATCAGAGGGCGCCACATTATGGGATTTGGGTGGGGGTACCGTGCAAAAACGAAGTTAGCGGGTGATGCATCAACCCCAATCACGAAGTGATTTAAAGGGGGAGAAAAGAAACAAGTTGAACAGTTTTTTCACCTGAGCAAACACCTGGTCGGAATCACTGTGGTCCTGAGGGCGACCAGCTGCATCCCCCACGAAGAATGAGCTGCGTGGGACGGGAGGCAGAGGAGGAAGGAAGGTGGCAGGGAGGGGCGGCAAACAGGGGAGACAAAGTGGAGTATTTTGAGTCAACTAGAATCACTGTGGTCCTTAGGGCGACCAGCTGCATCCCCCACGAAGAATGAGCTGGGGGGAGGAGACAGGCGAGGGAGGCAGAGAGGAGGTGAGTAGGGAAGGCACACAGGGGAGTAAAAAAGGAGTGTTTTTGAGTGGACTCAAATCACAGTGGTCTTGAAGGCTGCAGCAGCATCTCTCATGAAGAAGGAGCTGAAGGGAGGAAACAGCAGAGGGAGGCAGGTGGTGAGGAGGCAGGGGAGGCAGAGGGGAGTGCTGTGAGTGGACTCAAATCACAGTGGTCCTGAGGGAGACCAGATGCATCTCCCACGAAGAATGAGCTGCGGGGGACAAGAGGCAGAGGAGGGGGGCAGAGGAGGGGGGCAGAGGAGGGAAGCAGAGGAGGGAGGCAGAGGAGGGAGGCAGAAGAGGGAGGCAGAGGAGGGAAGCAGGAGGTGACGAGGCAGGGAGGGAGGCAGACATGGGAGGAGGCAGAGAGGAGTGTTGTGAGTGGACTGCAATCACTGTAATTTGGAGGGCTGCAGCAGCACCTCCTGCGAAGAATGAGCTGAGGGTAGGAGACAGTAGAGGGAGGCACACGGTGAGGAGGCATCAATCGGAGGCAGGCGGGGGAGGCAAGGAGGCGAGGAGTCGAGAATGCCACACACACTCACCTCTCCCCATCCACTCGTCTCCTTTCATTCCCACACACGCACAGCACTAAAACTGTCTCCTTTCATTCCCACACACGCACAGCACTAAAACTGTCTCCTTTCATTCCCACACACGCACAGCACTAAAACTGTCTCCTTTCATTCCCACACACGCACAGCACTAAAATTGTCTCCTTTCATTCCCACACACGCACAGCACTAAAACTGTCTCCTTTCATTCCCACACACGCACAGCACTAAAACTGTCTCCTTTCATCCCCACACACGCACAGCACTAAAACTGTCTCCTTTCATTCCCACACACGCACAGCACTAAAACTGCCTCCTTTCATTCCCACACACGCACAGCACTAAAACTGTCTCCTTTCATTCCCACACACGCATAGCACTAAAAATGTCTCCTTTCATTCCAAAACACTCACAGCACTAAAACTGTCTCCTTTTATTCCCACACACGCACAGCAGGTGACTGACCTGCCTTGTGGTTTGCAGAGAGGTGACAGAAGCCCCTCTAGTGACAGCAGAGCCATCACATGCCACAACAAACTCACTCACCTCTCCCATTCCAAGTGCTCTCTCTTCATTCCCACACGCGCACAGCAGGTGACTAAACAAACCCCCTTGTGGCAGGACCACCACCACATGCCACAACAAACTCGCTTACCTCTCCCCATCCACTGGCCTCTTTTCATTCCCGCATGCGCACAGGAGATGCCAGAGCCACTTTTCTTGTTTGAATTTTGAGAATTCTCAAAAGTCACAACGACGAGTGAAACCTCTGTTGCGGCAGAAACACCACCACATGCCAAAACCCACTCGCTCACCTCTCCCAATCCACGCGTCTCCCTTCATTCCCACACGCGCACAGCAGATGCCCCCCCCCCACCCCCCTCCCCCTCATGTCACAACACACTCACTGCAACGTTCACTCATCTCTCCCAGTGCATCGTTACTCATGGTCAGGAAGGGCTGCAGTGCTAGAGAAGGCTTTTAGCGAGAAAAGAAAGAGAGTTAAAACCCTTGCTAAGAGAATCCTGAATGCAAAGACTGTTTCGACTCAATAGGAAAAAGGTCGCAAAAATGTTTCGGCGAGGCGGGAAGACCCGTCAAGCTTTCATCAGAGCTTCTGATCCAACTGAGATCTACAGCTACGTATGAGCAAAGTAACTAACCCAAACCGCGAACAGAAATCAAAGTTCCCAACTACCCAGATTGCCTAACAATGGGGCATTCGGCAACACAGCACAGGGTAAAAGCCCAAGGTTACAGGTGTCAGCCTTCCGTGGTGTCTTCGTCAGGGCTATCGATAAGCCTTGGTGTGTTTTGAGCATCGATAAGCCTTGGTGTGTTTTGAGCATCGATAAGCCTTGGTGTGTTTTGAGCATCGATAAGCCTTGGTGTGTTTTGAGCATCGATAAGCCTTGGTGTGTTTTGAGCATCGATAAGCCTTGGTGTGTTTTGAGCATTCTCAAAAAGCACGTCTTCGTCAAAAAGCACGTCTTCGTCAAAAAGCACGACTTCGTCAAAACGCACGTCTTCGTCAAAAAGCACGTCTTCGTCAAAAAGCACGTCTTCGTCAAAAAGCATGTCTTCGTCAAAAAGCACGTCTTCGTCAAAACGCACGTCTTCGTCAAAACGCACGTCTTCGTCAAAAAGCACGTCTTCGTCAAAAAGCACGTCTTCGTCAAAAAGCACGTCTTCGTCAAAAAGCACGTCTTCGTCAAAAAGCACGTCTTCGTCAAAAAGCACGTCTTCGTCAAAAAGCACGTCTTCGTCAAAAAGCACGTCTTCGTCAAAAAGCACGTCTTCGTCAAAAAGCACGTCTTCGTCAAAAAGCACGTATTCGTCAAAAAGCACGTCTTCGTCAAAAAGCACGTCTTCGTCAAAAAGCATGTCTTCGTAAAAAAGCACGTCTTCGTCAAAAAGCACGTCTTCGTCAAAAAGCACGTCTTCGTCAAAAAGCACGTCTTCGTCAAAAAGCACGTCTTCGTCAAAAAGCACGTCTTCGTCAAAAAGCACGTCTTCGTAAAAAAGCACGTCTTCGTCAAAAAGCACGTCTTCGTCAAAAAGCACGTCTTCGTCAAAAAGCACGTCTTCGTCAAAAAGCACGTCTTCGTCAAAAAGCACGTCTTCGTCAAAAAGCACGTCTTCGTCAAAAAGCACGTCTTCGTCAAAAAGCACGTCTTCGTCAAAAAGCACGTCTTCGTCAAAAAGCACGTCTTCGTCAAAAAGCACGTCTTCGTCAAAAAGCACGTCTTCGTCAAAAAGCACGTCTTCGTCAAAAAGCACGTCTTCGTCTAAAAGCACGTCTTCGTCAAAAAGCACGTCTTCGTCAAAAAGCACGTCTTCGTCAAAAAGCACGTCTTCGTCAAAAAGCACGTCTTCGTCAAAAAGCACGTCTTCGTCAAAAAGCACGTCTTCGTCAGGGCTATCGATAAGCGTTGGAACCTTTGCTCGCACAAGTAACTTTTATAAGTTAGGTGCACACCTCCATGCAATATAAACATTCCCCATATAAAAGCCGCGTGAACTGAGACGATTTTTGAGGCGCCTAAAATGTTTTCTCCCATTGCATGTGTTTCCTAATTCATTCCCACGTGCACAGCAGATGCAATAGCTCCCATTATGGTTTCCAGAGCGGTGACAGACCCCCCCCCCTTCCCCCCTTTGTGGCACCAGCACCATCACATGCCACAACACCCTCACTCCCACCCTCACCTCTCCCATTCCACTTGTCTCTCTTCATTCCCACACTCGCACAGCAGATGCCACACCACGCCCACGTGCCACAACGCACTCACTGCCACACACTCACCTCTCCCATTCCACTTGTCTCTCTTCATTCCCACACTCGCACAGCAGATGCCACACCACGCCCACGTGCCACAACGCACTCACTGCCACACACTCACCTCTCCCATTCCACTTGTCTCTCTTCATTCCCACACTCGCACAGCAGATGCCACAGCCCCCCTTCTGGTTTCCGGAACAGGTCCCCTGAGTTGCTGCGACCGCAGGAGATGAAGATCTGACGAGACGAGGGGAAGGGATGAAAGGGGAAAGCGGAACAAAACAGGAGAGGGAAGGGGAAGTGAGTGATTGAGATGGTGTCAGGAACAGGTCCCCTGAGTTGCTGCGACCACAGGAGATGAAGATCTGGAGAAGCGGGGGAGATGGGGGGTAAGAAAGGAGAGAGGAGGGAAATGAAGCTTTCAAGTAGCCTCGTGGCACTTTCAACAGGTCCCCTGAGTTGCTGCGACCGCAGGAGATGAATATCTGACGAGACGAGGGGAAGGGAGAGGATGGAAGTGGGAAGGGGAAGTGAGTGACTGACTTGGACTCTTTATAGGGCGCCTGAGTAGCCTTATGGCACCTTCAACAGGTCTCCTGAGTTGCTGCGACCACAGGAGATGAGGGGAAAAAAAGGTTGAGGTGCGGAGAAGGAAAAACAGGGAGAGAACATAGGGAAAAAAAAAAAGAAAAAACATTTCAAGAGTAGCCATGTAGCTTTTGAAACGCCCCCCCTGCGTGGCTGCCCTCCTTATCTACATGCGCCATCTCTTGCAATCCCACCACAAGACCACACATACACCTACCTACCTGCATGGGCACGCCAGGCACCTCCCGCATGAAGCCATTCAGCCGGCCAATCTTGCTCTCAATGGCCTTGTGACGCTGCTTGGTGAAACCCCCTCTCTCAACTGACCTGTACCCATGCAAGCAGCCCTGCCACACACACACACACCTGCATGGGCACGCCCGGCACTGCACGCATGAGGCCATTCAACGGCCACCCGATCTTGCTCTCAATGGCCTTATGGCGCTGCTTGCTTGGTGAAGCTCCCCCTCTCTCAACTGGGCTGCAAGGGCACCTTACCAGATACTTTTGAGAATTCTCAAAAACTGACCTGCAAGGGCACCTTACCAGACACATGCCTACCTACCTGCATGGGCACCTTACCAGACACATGCCTACCTACCTGCATGGGCACGCCCGGCACTGCACACATGAAGCCATTCAGCCGCCCCATCTTGCTCTCGATGGCCTTATGGCGCTGCTTGCTTGGTGAAGCTCCCTCTATCAACTGACCTGCAAGGGTAACTTACCAGATCCATGCCTACCTACCTGCATGGGCACGCCCGGCACTGCACGCATGAACCCGTTCAGCCGCCCAATCTTGCTTTCAATGGCCTTGTGGCGCTGCTTGGTGAAGCGATCGATGTTTGACTCATTTGTGAAGATCACCTGGTGAGGGGGTGGGGGTGACGTGACGCATTGAGTTGACTCATTTCAAGATACTTGGGGTGACGCATTGAGTTGACTGATTTCAAGATACTTGGGGTGACGCATTGAGTTGACTGATTTCAAGACACTTGGGGTTCGGGCCACTCTTGAACGTGCTTGGTGAAGCGATCGATGTTTGACTCCTTGGTGAAGATCACCTGGTGAGAGTTGACAGGGGGGGGCAGGGTTTGGGTTTCGGGTTGAAGGGTCTAGACATTGTTCCTGTGCGCTCTGAACGGCCTTGTGGCGAGGATTGACAGGTGGGGGGGGGGCGGCAGGGTTTCGGGTTTGGAGTTGAAGGGTCTAGACATTGTTCCTGTGCCGCGCGCTCTCAATGGCCTTGTGGCGCTGCTTGGGGAAGCGATCGATGTTTGATCTGTTGGTGAAGATGATCTGATGAGGGAAATAATTTGGCGGAGGGGTAAGAAGGAGGTGCAGCCTGCAGGCTTGACATGTAGGTTCACTTGTGAGTGTGCTTTTGAGAATTCTCAAAAGTACCATCAACGTGCTTGGGGAAGCGATCGATGTTAGACTCGTTGGTGAAGATCACCTGGTGAGGTGGTGGGGGTGACGCATTGAGTTGACTGATTTCAAGACACGCCCATGCAGGTGTCACACGCCCACGCCCATGACTGATTTCAAGACACTTGGGGTTCGGGCCGCTCTTGAACGTGCTTGGTGGGGTTCGGGCCGCTCTTGAACGTGCTTGGTGGGGTTGATGTGAAGGAGGTTGACACTGGAATTCCTCAATGAGTGTCAAATCACTTGGGGTCGCTCTTGAGAGTGCTTGGTGAAGTTGACCGAGTGAGGTCGAGTGATGTGGTGGTGGGGGGGTTGACATTGGGTTTGTTAATTCATTTCAAGTCACTTGGGGTTGCTCTTGAGTGTCGCCTTGGCATTTGCTCTTTCAAGTTTGAACGTCAGGAATGCGTGTTTGGGTTTGATGGTGTACTGGAAACGAAGTTGAACATTGAGCAAGCTAAAGGAAATCAGGACACGTGAAAAAACATATCTGAGCATGTTAGAAGCGTCTCAAAAGCGTTGTAAGTCTCACGATTTTGTAGCCCGCTTGGTGAAACTGCTGGAGAACGCTGGGAACTGTTTCAAACATGAGAGACCAGGCGTTGGGGCCCATTCTGCAGGTACCATAAAGGAAACAATGGGAAAGAGGGATATGACACGGGCAAGAGTGGTGGTGATGAGATGACTTGGCCCCAAACGCCTGGTTGGGGTTTAGGGTGTGACAGATGAGATGACCCCAAACAGCTGGTTGGGACAAGGGGGTTTGACAAAGGTGGAAATTGGGATGTGTGGTAGTGCCGAGAAGACTGGGGTTGTCAAGAGAACACATAAGAGACAAATCCACCCTTACCCCGTAACCTACTGTTTCTCAACACACATGCACACTTCCGTGTTTGATACCAAGTTCACTTCCGCAGCTCCCCCCCTCACCCCTGTAATCTCACATATGCACATTTGTGCTGACCAAGCAGCCGTCGAAATGATAGAGCACCATCCCCTTTTCACAGCAATCCCTTTCCATCTCCACGGACCACCTTATCCCCCCTCTCAACTCACATGCGCACGTTGGTGTTGACCAAGCAGCCGCCGAAGTCAAAGGCTGGAAGCCCCCTCCCCTCCTCCCCCCACACCACACCCAAGATCCGATCCACAGCACCCCATTATCCCCCGTCTCAACTCACATGCGCACATTGGTATTGACCAAGCAGCCGTCGAAATCAAACGCGGCGATTCGACTGGACGGCTTTAACTCAGGGCTCTGAACGGAAGGAGGGGCAGAGAGAGAGGGAAGAAGGATAAAATGGGATGGGATAGGATGGGAGGTGATGCATGAGAAAGATTTGGGTGATGAGGGCAGGGACAGGAAGGGAGAATGGAGTGTGATTTAGGCGAACGTTCGAGACTCAAAGGTTCTTCACCGAAAGAATAGGAGCCTTTTCACACACGTCTGAAGAGAATAAGGGGCACAAGGAAACAAGAAAAAAAAGTATATTCTTGAGGCGCCTCACAAGGAGCATAGCACACGGAGAATGGGAAGGCATGGCATAAATACCTGGTGAAGGATGACTGAGGCGAATCCGAACCAGCCAGGAGGCAGAGGAACGCCCTGCAAGGGAGGAGAGGATGGTGAGAGGGGACAAGGAAGCAAGTGTAGCAGGTTCTAGCTGTTTCCCTCTGTTTCACTGTGCGAACGGTGTGAGTGGGAACAGATTACCCAGACGAAAATATGTTTCAGACAGGATGAGACAAGAAAGAGTTTATTTTAACTGGAAACCTATGTTGTAAGAGAAAATACAATCACTCCTTAACAATTCGTATCAAAGGCTACAACCTTTCCAAATATAAATTTCACATAGTTAAGACTTCAAACCACCTGCAAGCTTCACATGCTGCTGCAGTAAGGGGTCCTCTGCAGTGCATGTGTGTGGGCTCCACGATTCCACATCTGTCCTTTTGGAATTCCACAAGTTCCACAAGAGCACCCCCTCCTTCTTTCCCCTCCCCACCACACCCCCTTCCACATCCACTGCTGCTCCTCTCCCCCCCACACCCCCTCCCTCTCCTTCCATCAAAATTCCCTGCTCATCATGCCTCCCGCACTCAAATTTGCCCCTTCCATCTAGCCGCTCGCACCCATCCCCTCCCACTTCCTCGCGCATCTTGCAACCCAACTACACCCACATCCCCTGCCCCTCTCCCAAACCTGCTCCTCTCCAAGTCTCTTTTTGTGGTGCCTCTCACAAGCCCCCAAGCCCCTCGCAGCCTTATTCCCCGCATCCGTCTCATAAATTCCAACACCTCCACTCCAAGCCACCTCTTGCAAACGAACGCCCCTTTCTTCTTGCCTTTTTTACCACACACCTTTTCTTTTCCCCTTTTTACTTCTCTTTTTTGAAATTGGTCTAAGGCCCTAGGGTGGTATATCCGGGTAATTGAGGTACCAAGGTTCAACCCGAACCAAAAGGTTCTACCACATTAAGCAAACCTTGAACCCCCCTACTTACCCTAATTCCTTGAAGCTATTAACCTGTTCAAGTTGAACAAAGTCAAACAAGTTCGGATTTGGTTCTTGCTCATGTTTAACTGTGCATACGATAATGTGCAGTTGGGAGTGAGAAATTTGGATGGGTTGGAAGGAGGTCAGTTTTTGTCGGGCGAACATTTGTGCACTGCAATGAGGAGGCTACTACTCCAGGGAGATGTGAGTGGGAGCACCAAGGGGAATTAGATGCTCATTTTTGAAAAGTTCGGCCCAACTACAACACAAGGTTTGCCACAAATGCGAACAGGTTCTCTTCGAATTGCCATTTCGTTTATAGTCACATTCAAAGTAGCATTGTGCTTTTGGGAAGTTCTTTACAAAAACCTGTTTTGCGGGATACAGGGTTATGGGAGGTGTGGATACACACTCAAACCTCCCATGTGCAAGTAAGCGGGTGTGGAATGATTGAGTGATTCAGATACGCTCAGATCTGGCATTTCGTCGCCAAATCCCCATGTATCAGACATTTCGCCGCGCCGAATTGCGACCATCATGGTTGAAAAAGGTGGTGGGTAGGATGCAATTCTAGACTTGGAATGTGAGAAATACTCTATGTTTTACCCCTGAAATCGTTTTGTCGGGCAGTTTTCCTCTCTAGCAAACGGAAAACATGCACATTTTGTCAGATCACACAATGTTCAACGTTGTCATATATTTTTGAGATACAGTGCATTCTTATGTTGAGTCGTTTTCAGAACTTCGCGTCACAAACGTTATTCGTGACTAACTATGATGCTCCAAAACCATGAACAATGACATTCCAGCCTTGGTTGTTCATAATTCAAGAACATCATAATTAATAACGAATAACGCTTGTGACGCGAATTTCTGAAGATGCGTCAACATAGGGATGCACCCTTAAACTGTTCGGGTTCAACGCAACGTGGGCGAACCAGAAAGATTCGGGCAAACAGTTCGGCCAAGCTTTTTCCGATCTGTTGCGAACATCGTTAGCTAAAAGAGGTTCGATTTGACAACAGTCAAACCTGTTCGAACGAACCGAACCCCGAAACCCTTGGCCAAATAGTTGTTCGGCGCGATGCTCATGTTTGTGTATGCGAAACCACTCTTCAAAGTCCACGAGGCTAAAGGGTAAGAGTATAAATCAAGTAAACCTCAAAACTAAAAAAATTACGAGAGTCTTTTTTATCATATTGAATCAGGAAAAGGCTGAAATGACCGAGCACGTGCAGCTAAGGAACTTCGCACTACCTCCTAATCCTCCACGTACAGCTGCATTAATGATCGACATGCTAAAAACTGACAACCATATCTGAAAGGCCATTCATGCGCATAAAATCTCCAATGGTTCTTCGAGGCCGCCTCTTTCTCCTACTCCCCTAGCCCCAGAACTCCTCCCCCCTTCGTTCGGATCAGTCGACTGCCTCCTTCCCACAGTGATTTCTTTAACCAATCTTACTAGTGCCTTCTTCGGCCACTCTCGATACATTGCTCTTCGTGCGCTTGCGAGCTGCTTTAAGCCGGGCCATGTCGCGTTCGACTAGCCAACTAGACGGTATCATGCCCGGCTGCCCACATAGTGGGTTGCATGTGATGAGCAAGTTGTGGAACTGTGATAGGGCGCAACGATTGACAAAAGGGAGGTTTGATTTGATCTTGTTGACCTAAAAAAGAAACAGCTGAAGGCTGAGCGAGAATAAGGCATGATCGCGCCAACAACTCACCTCCCTTGAATCCACCACCTCCACTCGAATGTCGCATTCGGCCACGAACTTTGCAATGGCACGTCGAAGGCGGGGTTTCAAGAGTACCGGATCCATATAGTTATTGATATCCACTAGCTCTTCGCCTACAGGCTCGCGACCAGCAACGGGAGGCTGCGACGCTCCCCGCGGTGCCTTTTGAGGCGCCTCAAAAGGCTGTTGCGCCCTCCGCTGTGCCGCCCCACTTGGCTCGCCCTGGTATCAACCAGTAAAAAATGGGTCAAAGTTAGTGTTCAATTCAAAGTTAGTGAGCAGCAGTAGGAGGCTATGGCACTCTCCGCGGTGTCGCCCCACTCGGCTCGCCCTGGTATCGACCATTGAAAAGTAAGTCTAGTTAGTGTTCCATTCAAATGCCTCAAGCACCTTACCATGTGTCTGCTGCAGTTTTTAGTGGTGCCTGCTTTGGACATGCTGCACGCCTTGCACGTATGCGAGGTCCTAAGGATCCTCACTCACGGGGAAGAGCTGAATCTTCTCCTTGTACAAGATGCACTCGTTGCACATCTTGCAAATTCCTACTTAGTTATTCCCAGCGGCGATATGGCAGTGGCGTGCCACTTTGACAATCCGTTTTCCTCTTGAATAGAACACTCTAAAGGATCTCTCCGACCCACCCCATTCCACACACCCGCACTCACCTTGTACATCCCCTTGAGTGACTTACGGGATTAGAGAAGACTTTTGAGGCGCCTTTTGAGGCGCCTCAAGAACCAACCATCCCATTTTAAAGGATCTCTCCGACCCACCCCATTCCACACACCCGCACTCACCTTGTACACCCCCTTGAGCGACTGACGGGAGAAGGTTCCCAGAACTTTCTTCACAGCAGGTGAAGGAGCAGGATAGGTAGCGGAGCCAGCGCTAAGAACCTGCCACGATCAGTGAGACAAAAGGTGAAAAAAGGGGTTAGACCTCGTATGCCACTCACATATAATTCACATGGCAAAATGTTATCACGCCTGAAGCATTCAAGCATCCTAAACCACTACGAACAGCTGTCTTGAAGGAAAGGAATCAGCGACATGTCCCTTCTCTTTGTGTTATGCGGACCATTAAGTTGCATCATCGCTAGAACCTGCAATGGGAAAGGTTTAGAAGCCACATTACCTTACTCCGCTTTGTCTCAGGTCCACTGGAATCCTCACTACCGCTCTCATCCGCGTTACAAGCCTTTCCTGCTGCGGCAACACCGTCCGGCACCGCTCCTGCCCTACCCCCCTCCTCCCCAGCAGCTCCTTCCATCACCCTCTTCCCCTTCCCGCCCCTCCCACTTTCAGCAGCAGCCGCAGCGGCAGTGGCAGTGGCAGTGGCAGCAGCAGCAGCAGCAGCAGCTGCAGCAGCAGCAGCAGCAGCAGCAGCAGCAACTGCAGGTTGTGAATCAGGGGAGGAAGCACCAGGAGCAGCAGCAGCAGCAGCAGCAGAAGCTCTTGTGAGAATGGCCTGGAGGGATTGCTGGTCGGAAGGCTGGTAGTGGTGAGCGGGAGAGGGGAGGAAAGAGCGTTAAATTTTGTGAGAATGGGGGAGAGGTGCCTTAGAAAGCAGAGGGATTGCTGGTCGGACGTTTGGTGGTGGTGAGTGGGGGAGAGGAGGGTAAAAAAATCAAGAAGAATTCGTTTACACTGCATATTCCGTTTACGAGAAGAATCTCGTGAAAAAAAACTGTAGCGTTTTCTGTTCAGATGGTTAATGCCGCTGAAAATTATTTGTCGGCAAGAAAACATCCCGCACCTTTAGGCGAGTGAAGCCTTGCAAGCTGGATGGTGACTGTAACGAAAGCGAGTTCGCCGCGACGACGCAGGGAGGGTGGTACCTGAGGAGTCATGGAGGTTTCCGGAAAAGAATCATTGACACACAGTTGTGAATTTCAAATCATGTAAATACTGGAAAGAGGGATGTAAGAAACAACTTAAGTTACATCGATCGAAGGAGACAGCGAGGATTCGCACCATTTGGTGACGTCGAATCCGCCGTTGCCTTTTGTCACGACGCCGACTCGCACGTCATCCTTAGCTACCGCCTTGCTACAGTGCCGGCACGCGGCACGGCCCGATCGCGCGTACTCAACCACTGCTCGCGCCACGCCCACAGCAGCGGTTGACATAGACGAAGCTTCACCCTTACGCTACCTAGAAGACTAGCGTTACAGCTAGGGAATATGCGGTGTGCTCTCTCCTGGTTCTGACTGACACTGATAGTGGGGGTGTGTATCTATCCCAATTTCCCGCCAATTGTTTAGTGCGGTTCAGAACGTTTCCACACGTTAATCCATCGGTGGCGCCTAAATGTATGACACTTTGACACTATCGCAGGCACCTCACTGCACCGTTACAGAGCTTGGCGGGTCCGTGGTGTGGCCAAATGGGGAACCCCCGTGTTACAGTTTCGTGGGTTGCCTTTCTTGTAATTCGTTCGGCTCTCTGGTTTCGCGAGTACGATCGCCAACACCAAAGCCCACGATGTCGCACACACCGATTTCAGCGAAGACCACGAACCCACCAAATTCAGTAACCAGCCTTGCTCGACCAAGCTTTGAAAAGATTTGACTCGCGAGACACTACACGAAAGATCGAACGTGCAATGCGAACCTAAAGGGAATCAGACCGAACTGTTCGTGAACCGGCCTTGCCTTGGAATTAGTTCCTCGGCATTTCCTACCTCGAAAATACCTGCCTCAAGAATACCTACCTGGCAGGAAATTCCCGAAATTCGAGCATATGAAGCTTACTAACCTAGGTCGCTACTCGCTGTGTTTGACTCACGCATAGGTGAAACGCCTTGACGGTTCCCTGCCTCTGACGGTTCCCTGCCGGTGAATTCATATGGACTCTGGCAATTTCGGTCCGGAATTTCGCTCTCTGGGTTTCTGTTGTCTCTAGCACGTCACCGTCGCTGGCATTGCACCCCCGCTGCATCACCTATCAATTCAGCGAATTTGATATTTCAATCCAAGATGACGTATGTATTGAGTCTGTACCTATTCACAGCCCTGGCCTTTGCTGCTTTTACCGAGTACAGGATGTCGTCATCACCTCACTGCAAATGCTAAATCCATTAGCGAATTTCCATCTACGCCTCCATGATACACGCACAACTAGGTTATCGCGGGGATAAAGCATGTGATCGTCAGTCTCGCGGCATCACAGGGGCCGACGCGACATGTTTTGAAGGCTTTCCAGTGCTGGACTTCGCACTCAAGAGGGATTTACTCCAAAAATAGAAGAAAAGATGGATCCGAAAGTCCGTCTTTCTGGCGTTCTCCTGGTTGTCGCGCTGGCCTTCATCGCTCTCTCCCCCCAGGTCACCCTCCTCTCCCAGTCACCCTCCTCTCCCACCCTCCTCCCCCAGTCACCCTCCTCTCCCACCCTCCTCCCCCAGTCACCCTCCTCCCCCAGTCACCCTCCTCCCCCAGTCACCCTCCTCCCCCAGCCACCCTCCTCCCCCAGTCGTACCCCCATAGCATGATGCAGTAGAAGTCAATAGCTTTTGAAGGCCCTTCCTGTTTGTCCATGGTGTAGAGAGGGGCCAGCGACCTCACTTCAATTGCGGAGTTGTCTCACTCTCACTTGCGCTGACGGTGTTGTCATTCCTTGCTCGTGGTGTCGTGTTTGAGGGTGAACGGATGCGGGGGGGGGGGGTGGTGTTGCCGTTCCTGTGATACCAATCCATGGGATAGGGAGGGGAGTCGTTGCTTCACATTAATTGAGGAGTTGTCTCACTCTCCCTTGCGCTGACGGTTTTGCCATTCCTTGCTTGTGGTGTGGTGCTGTGCTTGGATGGGGGCGGATGGGGGAAGGATCTGGGGAAAAAAGGGGGGGGGGGGAAGGATAGAGGGGGAGGATGGGGGAAAATGTAGGGAAGAGGATGTGGAGAGGGGTGAGGACCAAGGGATTTGGGCAAGGATGGGACTGGCTTGAGTAAGGGTGGGGAGGGGGTGAGGGAGGGGTGGGAAAGAATGGGGGAAAGGGGAAGATGAGGAGGGGAGGGAAGGGGGTTTGAGAGGGGTCAGGGTCAGGAGGTGGTGGGTGGGCTTGGGGAGGGGGTGCTTGCATGGGCAGGTGTATCTGTGCAGGTGGCATCTGCATCGCTGGTCAAATCAGATCAAATCCGATCTTCCAAGGATGTGATCGGGCAGGTGGTGGAGTTTGAAGCAGAGGAAATTGAAGCCCTGGAGGGCGGCAATGCTCGTCCACATGCGGCTGGTCTTGAGAGCGGCGACGCGCGTCCACATGCGACTGCCTTGGAGGGGAGTGAAAGGGGAGGTGGAGAGGAGGGGGTTACAGAGGGCAGGCAGCAAGAGGAGGAGCGCAGTTGGTGGAGGTGGGATGTGGGGAAGGGCGAACTAGTGTGGAGGGAGGGGCCAGAGGGGTTGGCTGACGGGCAGGAAACACTTTTGTGGCTGCCCGAGATCGTGTACGAGGATTTGGAGCTCATGGACCTGAGATATTTCCAGGTGGGCGAGATATTTCCAGGTAAGCGATCTATTTCCAGATGGGTGAGATATTTTCAAGTGGCCAGACGTTTTCAGGTTCAATTTGTTTCCTGATCATCAGGGCCAAACGGATTAGAGATCTTGAGGGAGTTAGTCTTTTCTTGTGGGTGATATTTATTGGCTTGGACGAGGTTCACTAATTAATTCCATTTTAACAAACAACACCCCATGTCAGGCTCTGCTACAGTCAATTCGGTTGGCAAACGACAACCCATCTCACGTGAATGCTCCCCTTCCCCTCTCAGGGCCTGTACGGCCCAGCCCCTGCCTGCCCTTCCTTCTCTGGCTGGTATTGCTGATCAAATTCACCAATGTTGCCAATTTCTCTCTCCCCCTCTTCCTCCCTCCTCTCCACCTTGCTCCTCAACCCCTTCCTCCTCCCACCATCTTCCCCATCCCTCCTCAGGGTCTGCACTGCCCGGCTCCTGCCTGCCCCTCCTTCGCTCGCTGCCGCACTGGCCGCAGGCAGGCAGGCAGGGTACTGGCGTGCACTGGACACGACCCTTTATTGAGTGATCCGTTATCACGCAACAACGGTGGTGCATCCAGTCAGACAGCTTCAACGGACGCGTCAGGGACATCATCTGTCGGCGCGTCAGGGTCGGACTCGATGGCCACCGTAGGCTCGGCGTCTGCGGCGGGCTTAGGCTCGGCGTCAGTAGACGCGTCTCCTCTTGTGGACCCCTCCCCTGTGCTCACCTCGCCTCCCCCCAACCACGTGAAGGACAATGCGACCTATGATGTGGCTGTTGCCGAGCCGTTTGCTGCACAGGTGGGTGGGAGAGAGTGGCTCGCTGGTGGCAAGAGGTTGCAGGGGATGAGATGTGGTGCAGTGTGGTTGGTAGATGTGGTGTGATGTGGGAAAAAACAGTTCTGTCTTCTCTACGTCTCCTGCTCATCCCTGCAGGTGTTCCTGCTATAGAACGTCTTTATCAACGACTGTTTTGTAGCAATACAAGCATGCTGTTCATCAACGATCAACGACTCACACAACTCACCGACCGTTTTTTAGCAACTCACACATGCCGTCCGCTGTCTCTTTCTCCTCTTCTCCTGCTCCCCCCTGCAGGTGTTCCTTCTAGAGAACGTCTTCATCAACGACCGGGGCATGGTGTTTGATGCCATGTACCACTACCGCCATGGGCTGCTGTGCAGGTGCGTGTGCATGTATGATGTAGGGATGCATGTGTAATAAATGCTAGGTATGGGACAGTGCACGTGGTGTTTGATGCCATGTACCACTATCGCCACGGGCTGCTCTGCAGGTACATACATACATGTGCACATGCATATGGGAATGCGTACATGTATGTGTTGTATCGTTGGGAACAAACATCTCCTCTCCAATCACCGGGGCATGGTGTTTGATGCCATGTACCACTACCGCCATGGGCTGCTGTGCAGGTATGTGGTGTATGGTGGTACATGCATGTACGTGAGAAAGAAAGCACGCATGCGCACGTGCGCACTCTGCGACTGATCTAGAATGCGCATGTGTGCAGCACACATGCCGTAGGTGCGGGAAAGGAAGCCAGCCAGAGTGCGCATGTGTGCAGTGAGCTGCTCTGATAGGCCTGTAGCCATAGCTAACTCCCTCGCCTCGCCTCTCCTCTCCCCTCCCCACTCTACTTCGGTCTGTACACAGGGAAGCAAACCTGAGTGCGCATGTGTGCAGTGAGCTGCTCTCATCGACAGTGTTTCCCCTTCCTCTCCTCCCCCCTCAACCCCTGGTTAGGTGCTGCCCTCTCGACTTCGGCCTATACACAGGGAATGAAACCAAGGTGCACGTGTACAGTGAGCTGCTCTCACGCATTTGCTTCTTCCTCTTTCCTGGTACCTCTTGCTCTCCCCAGGTCCTGTCCCCTCGACTTTGGCCTATACACTGGGAATGAAACCAAGGTGCACGTGTACAGTGAGCTGCTCTCATTGGCCAACTGGAATGGCGGGAACTTCTACCATTCGCTGCTCGAGGTCATGCCGTCCCTTCTCTACCTGCGGCCATTCTTGGAAGCAAAGCCGGGCATTCCCATTCCAGTCAAGATTGACCAGGTTAGGTGCGGTGTGGTGCGGTTCAATGAGGTGTAGTGTCCGTGATCGTTGTCTCTGGAATCCCCATTCTCAACCCAACCTTCTACCACTCTCTCTCTCCTTGAGGTCATACCCTCTCTCCTCCACCTGCGTCTGTTCTTGGAAGCAAAGCTGGGCATTCCAATTCCAGTCAAGATTGACCAGGTGCGGTGCAGTAAGGTGCAGTATGGTGAGGTGCCTTGCTCGTCCTGGGCAGGGCAGTGAGGGGAGGTCCAGTGCCTTGTATGGTGTGTGTCCAAGCCAATCTCCACTATACTGGACCGGAGTTGACTTGACTTTGAGTCAACTCAAAAGTCAACGAGGTACAGTCCCTTGTACGGTGTGTGGTGTGTATCCAAGCCAATCTCCACTCCACTGGACCAGGAATTCCCGTCTTTTACCATTCGCTGCTCGAGGTCATGCCCTCGCTGCTCTACCTGCGACCGACCAGGTGAGATGAGGTGTGGTGCGGCTCTGTGCGGTGAGGTGAGGTACAGTACCTTGTACTGTGTCTCTACAAACCCTTTCTCCTCTGGACCAGCAATCCCCCGCTTCTACCATTAGCTGCTGCAATGCAACCGCATTGAAGAAGTCGTGCGGCTGAAGTTGGCATGACTTCATCAGCTAAGAAGTTGTTAGAGGAAGAGAAGTCGTACCATGTCTTCACGTGAAAGAAGGAGTGTTTTGAGACGTCTCAAAACACCATGTCTTCACGTGAAAGAAGGAGTGTTTTGAGACGTCTCAAAACACCATGTCTTCACGTGAAAGAAGGAGTGTTTTGAGACGTCTCAAAACACCATGTCTTCACGTGAAAGAAGGAGTGTTTTGAGACGTCTCAAAACACCATGTCTTCACGTGAAAGAAGGAGTGTTTTGAGACGTCTCAAAACACCATGTCTTCACGTGAAAGAAGGAGTGTTTTGAGACGTCTCAAAACACCATGTCTTCACGTGAAAGAAGGAGTGTTTTGAGACGTCTCAAAACACCATGTCTTCACGTGAAAGAAGGAGTGTTTTGAGACGTCTCAAAACACCATGTCTTCACGTGAAAGGAGTGTTTTGAGACGTCTCAAAACACCATGTCTTCACGTGAAAGAAGGAGTGTTTTGAGACGTCTCAAAACACCATGTCTTCACGTGAAAGAAGGAGTGTTTTGAGACGTCTCAAAACACCATGTCTTCACGTGAAAGAAGGAGTGTTTTGAGACGTCTCAAAACACCATGTCTTCACGTGAAAGAAGGAGTGTTTTGAGACGTCTCAAAACACCATGTCTTCACGTGAAAGAAGGAGTGTTTTGAGACGTCTCAAAACACCATGTCTTCACGTGAAAGGAGTGTTTTGAGACGTCTCAAAACACCATGTCTTCACGTGAAAGAAGGAGTGTTTTGAGACGTCTCAAAACACCATGTCTTCACGTGAAAGAAGGAGTGTTTTGAGACGTCTCAACACACCATGTCTTCATGTGAAAGAAGGAGTGTTTTGAGACGTCTCAAAACACCATGTCTTCACGTGAAAGAAGGAGTGTTTTGAGACGTCTCAAAACACCATGTCTTCTCTTCCTCTAACTTCAACTTTTGAGTCGACTCAAAAGCTGTCTTCTCTTCCTCTAACATCAACGCCTCAACGCTCAACTTCAAGACAGTTCGCAAGGACCACCCCCTATTCGCCTGCATCTCACCCCATGCCCTTCCCTTTTAAATCACCGCTTGCCCCGACCCCTTGCTCCCAGGACAAGCACGCTCGCCTCTTCTCACTCATCAACGTCAACGCATCAACCCTAAACTTTCAAACAGTGCGAAAAGACCACCTGTTCTTTGCTCGCCGCCTGCACCTTACTCCATAATCTCACCCCTTTGCCCCAACCCCTTGCTCCCAGGACAAGCATGCAAGGCTGTTTTCGCTCATCAACATCAACGCTTCAACTCTCAACTTTCAAACAGTCCGCAAGGATCATCTCTTCTTCGCTCGCCGCCTGCTGCTGCCGTCCATTGCGCAGTGCGGCCGCCCGTCCGCCGCCCTCGTCCGGCACTTGCGCAATCATTACCTGCTCCCGCCGTCCGCCCCGAGAATCAAATCTCGGCACGAGCTGGCACAATTTTCCAGCTACGCTACTGCTACAACTGTTCCTGTTACAGCTGCTGCTACAGATGTTGCTGCTGCTGGCAATGCTGGTACTGATCCCACAGCTGCTGCTGCCTCGGATGGTGCTGGGCTGGCTGCAGGGGGTGGTGTGCTGGCGACGCCTGATTGGTGCGTGGTGGTGGGTCAGCGCGACACAACGAGGAGGATTGTGGGGCGAACGCACATACTGGAGGAACTACAGGCGTTCTTTCCCAAGGAGAGGATCATGGTGAGTGGTTGAGTACGGTGAACACATGTGTTGTGGTGTGGTGTGTGGTAGACTCATGAGTGACACCACGAGGCGGACTGTGGGGCGAACACACATATTGGAGAAACTGCAGGCATTCTTTCCAAGAGAGAGTATTGTGGTGAGTATTGTGGTGAGATGGAGGAGTATTGTGGTGAGATGGAGGAGTATTGTGGTGAGATGGAGGAGTATTGTGGTGAGATGGAGGAGTATTGTGGTGAGATGGAGGAGTATTGTGGTGAGATGGAGGAGTATTGTGGTGAGATGGAGGAGTATTGTGGTGAGATGGAGGAGTATTGTGGTGAGATGGAGGAGTATTGTGGTGAGATGGAGGAGTATTGTGGTGAGATGGAGGAGTATTGTGGTGAGTGAGGAAGAGCCGTGATGAGTGGATTGGTGTGTTTCTCCGTGTGTCCAGTGCGGTACTGATTGGTGCTTGCTGGTGTATAGTGTGACACCACGAGGCGGAGTGTGGGTTGGTCACATACATTGGACGAAGGTTGTGTATAAAGGAAAGGATCGTGGTGAGTGGAGAAAGGTTGTGGTGAGTGAATGAGTGTGGGTCTCCTTGTGTCTGGTATTGATTGGTGCTTGGTGGTGGGTCAGCGTGGCACCATGAGAGGGGATGTGTGTGGGGCAGACACACATCATGGAACTGCAGGCGTTCTTTCCCAAGGTGAGGATCGTCCATAACCCCTCGCTAGCCCCTCGTGGCCAATATGTGCCCTTGCAAGGGGACATATTGGAATATGCCCTGTTCTTCCGGTTCCTTGCATCTCACTCCAACGCCCAGGTGTTTCGAGGAGACCTCCCTCTGCCTGAGGCAAAGCAGCTATTCAACCGCGCCCGATTGTTCATCACCCCTCACGGCGCCCTCATGGCAAATATGGTCTTCATGCCGCCCGGTGGCTTTGTCCTGGAAGCACGGCCGGAAGATTTTGATAACAATCTGTATGATTATTTGGCTTATGTGTGCGATTTGCATTATTATCTTGTGAAAGGCGTTGGCGGGAAGGATACGGATATTAGAGTGGATATGGAGGAGATGGTTGGGGTGGTGGATGAGATTTCTAAAAAGCTGATCGCACAAAACTTGTAGTGCATTGTATAGGACAATGATAACAACAATGGAGTTGCAATGCAGCTTTTTTGATAGCTAGATCACTTGTAAGAACAGGTACTAGAGAAATTTTAATCATTAGCATGTTCAACCAGGGTAAGGCCTGACAAGTGTGTTATCACCTTGTAAGAAACAACAAAAACCACTAGTTCTATTTGGCATTGAACGCGACTTGGGAGCCTTCGCTGTTCGCCAATTTCCATCAGTCACACCGCGATGCACCAGGTCACGACGGGACGGAATTGTAGGCCCTGTTCGATAGCTTTTGAGACTTCCAGGATGCAACCGTTTGGAATGGCCTTGTCGCCCAAATGGTTAAGGGTCGCGACAAAGTGCAAGTGGGCCTCTGGGCCGGCAGTGTAATTATTTGGCCGCCCCAACGCCGACTTGTTTCACCGAACTCAACCGTGCAGGGTGTCGAAAAGCTCCACCCTAACGGCCCATTGAAGCGGACGAGGGTTCCCCCAAAGTTGACAGGTGAAGGCGGAAAAAACCGAAAAACAAAATACCGCTGGATGTACGGGAAAAAAAAACCATCCACGTAGAACATCTCTGCAAGGAAACCCTAATTCGCGAAACACACTTCCTAATTCGTTGTATGTCGCTAAGGCACTGGACTCCACAAATCGCGACGTAGTACGAAGCTGCGAAATGTGCAAGTCTCAAGAGTCAAAAGGCTCAGATTCGACCGGGCATGCTCTGTTTTTCTTTACCCTACTTTTGGGCAGTTAGAGATAGGGAAACCGCTAGATTAGAGTATCCCTAAATAGCCCATTGGTCTGGCAGTGAAGCGATTTAGTTGAAAAGCAACTTTGGCAATGGTCCGACAATGGTCTGGTGTTTTACCAGGGAGGGGCTGTAATCATTAGGCGGGAGTTACTGTTCTTGCGCGCTGTGGTGTCAAAGTACCTCGTTAAGATTCCCGCCAACTTTTAGCAGATGGGCGGGAAACCGTGGAGATCGCAGGGGGGTCGTTCGCGCTGGCGGGAATTATGCACCATCGCATGAGGTCCCAAACCGTTTCCCGCCCAAGGAACAAGGTTACCTCAATGTTTTCTGGCATGGGTCACCCTCGCTATCGAACAGGGTCGTAAATTGGCCTCGAGCTCACGTCAGTCAGATCAGAAGTCCCAATTTGGGACTCCCAAAACTCACCCGAGGAAACTGTAAATTGGCCACCATGAGCTTGAAGTTCCGAAATCACTCGTGCATTCATTGAAAGCACCATTTTGTTGACGTGCCTTTTCACAGGGCGAGGAACGAGGGCATCAGCTGGTATGCAGCAACTCATTGCTGAGCACTCAGTGCCCGTCGGGACGCTATTCGCTGCTCAGCAGCCCAAGTGAACACCGATCGCACAGGGTCCATGAGCGCCCGCTGCAGCTGCAGTTTCGAATGCCCGTGTTCATTACACATCGGCACAACAGACGTGCGAGCGGAGCCAGCATGATACCCGGCCGGATGCGCTGTGCGCACGCGAAACTGATTATAGTAGCTCGTCACCCCTTGCGTCGTCACGCGAGCATCCACTGAGGGCGAACTCCACGGCCGCTGGCTGCTCGCCGATGGTTGCGACGCCGCGACTGACGCGGACAACGGTGTTTGGTACAACGGACTGGGCAGACGGCTTGTTACCGCTGCGTTCGCCGTGGTCGCGGAGTGAACCGGCGCGCCTGCACGAACAGGGGCGGCCGATCTCGCAGTCGGTGAAATCTGCTGCTGCCTGCTATCGCGCGCGTGACGGTAACAGCTGTTCGCTGAGTCTGCTGCCAGCAGTGCTGACGGCATTGGGCCTTCTGGTCGTCTGTATGTAGCGGCTCCCCCTTGCCGCCAGACGAGCGCAGTCATGATGTCGTTCCATAGCACGGCGGTGTCCTTCTCGCCCAGTGCGTGCACTCTCCGGGAGCGGCGGAGCGGCACGTGACGGATCCCTTGCGATCGCGCTTCTGAAAAGACGGATTTCAGAGGCTGCGCTGGCCTTCGGCGGCTATCCGAGGAGTCTTTTCCCTCCAATCTTGTTAGCACGGGCTCGCTTTTGCTGCGCTTAAGCCGACGCTGTGCGTGGATATCGTGGCGGTTGTTTCCAAACACCGGCTTGCAAGTCGCGCGATTCCACGAGTCGAGTCGCCGCTGGGCCGAGTCCAGCGACAGGCGACCTCTGTCACGACCGCAACGGCTCATGTCGCGTGGGCCGTCGTTGGCGGCTGTGAGAGCGACGAGATGCTGTAGCTGCTGGAGTGACAACCCGTGGCCTGCGACGAATTCAGTCGACGGGGACTGTGGTTGTGCGCTTCGGTGCGCTCTGGTGCGTGCGTGCGGCGCATCGTGAGGAGAAGATGTGGGTTTTCCTGATTGCGGCGTCTCCGGTTGAAAGCGAGTGGTCGGAAGCGGTTGTGAGTGCGGCGAGGCGCTTTTTGCACGTCTGGCCGCAGTGGCGCTGGCAGCGGGATTTGCGGGCGACGAAGGCTGTGACAGTAATGCGAACTGCTGAGCCGTAGTCACCGTCAATGCACGAAATGCAGCCGTAGCAGAGCGAGTACTGTGATAAAGAAGATTGTCGGACGTTTCAGAAGCCATTGTTTGCTCTGTGATTGAAGCACTATTAGTCAGGGGGGGAGTCTTGAGGTGAAGGGTGAATGAATGTGAGGTCCATAACCCGTAACAATTTATGCTCTCATCGCGATTTCTAGTGCCAATACGCTGAGTGGGCGGCGAAATGAAACTGCTTCACCTTCGTTGCATGGCTTCGCCTGACTCTGAATTGTTGGGGAATTGGCGGTGAGTGGGGCGAAACATTTGGCGGTGATATTGTTCGCATCTGGTACGGTACGGATTCGCGAAGAAGAAAATTATCGCTAATCTGGCAGAGGTGAAAGGTGAACGAATGTGAGGACCACAACCCGTAACAATTTATGCTCTCAATCACGATTTCCAACCAATCCGCTGAATAATGAAACTGCTCCAGATTCGTTGCATGTCTCCGCCTGACTCTCTGGATTGTTGGTGCAAAGGAATGCCAGTCATGGGCGCGTGGGTTCGATCGATGTTGGGGAATTGGCGGTGGCAGGGGCGAACATTTGGTATGGGGTGCGGTGATACTATACGCATCTGGTACGGTATGGCAAATGACGTAGCAATTCATGGAAAAGTGCCTGTTTTTTCAAGAATACGTCATGTTGTGTGAATGCTGAAACTAAAACCCGAGCGTGTTAAGATGTATGACGTCAAGCCTCTTAAACATGATGTTTTTAACACTCGTTATACCAATCTACTGAGCACTTATTATAGGAGTAGTACCACTCAGTAGTATTACTCAGTATTACTAATCGCTATCCTACTCTTACTGGCACTATATGCTTTAATCCAATGTCTGCAACTGGGAAGAAAATCCCACGAGTACCTTCGACTTTTTATGTGAAGAGGGGTGGGAAGGTTGGAGGCTGGGGTTGGGATGGAGGGGGGTGCTTGGTGATGGGGGCGATGAGGGTTGTTCACGAGGGAAACAAAAACTAGTACACTCTTGGGCCAGCCCCCTAGAGGTTCCCCGAACCGAGTTTGTGCTCACTTGCGATCACTATTCATTTCCACCCAAGTCAGTTTTCAACCACGTGGTGGCATTCTTCAAATCTCTCCCCAACCGTACTTGTTCAACTTTGGTGGTGTTCCCCGTTAGTGTCTCGTCCGTTTTGTGGCGCACTTTACAAACAGTCCCTTACCATGGTGACAATAAATCTTTCACTACTGTGGAAAGACCCTATCGGGCCCATTTGTGCCTTTCACTTCCCACATGAATCTACTTACGAACGAGGGCCGAGCCAAACCCTATCAGTTTTTTCTGCACCAAACCCTATCGAGCCAAGCAGGGCCGCCCAGGCGCGAAGCAGTTTTACGTTTGCCCCGACTACTGACACGGTTCCATTCTGCCCGACCCCAGCCCTGTTTTAGCTGTGTTAGTAAGCGATGTTACCACATGTCGCTAATGGTGAAAAGTTCGCCGCCTTTTCTACAGTACGAGCCAATAACTCCGCCATGGCATTCTGTAGTGCAGACAATCGGAAACGACTAGTATCTCAGCCTAGTATCTCACCCTACCTCAGCGGGGTATAGGATCATCAATCTACCACGATGCGCTTCTAATTACGGATCGCTGGTTCATGCTTGCGGGCTTGCACAATCTCTCACCATGCTTCGCGACTCTCGTATTTTAGTAGGAAGTTGCGCGGGGAAGTGCAGCACGTGGCATGTGGTCGAGTCATCGTCTCACTCAAATGACATCAGCACACTCACTAGGTTATCCTATCCTCACATGATGATGCAGTCCGGCGAGACTCCCACTGCCTCTCGCAGGAGGGCGAGGACGACGTATCACCGACGAAATCTAGGATGCTGGCGAATCGTCGTCGTAACGTCACGTGTTCGTCGGAGCCAATGAGAGTCCACATGGCTCCAGTGCCATTCGGCGGGACTGAATCTGTTCACGTGGCATCGATTCATCGCGTCGCTCAAAGGACATTCGCAAACTCACCACTGGTTAGAAACTGGGGTCGCATCTAGACTCCCGACGGTTCACCCAATCCGAGACTCCCAGCCTTTCCGCCTCTCCGCCTCTCCAACTCCCAGTCCGAGAGCAAGCGGACGACGTATCACCGACAAAATCTAGGATACGCGCAAATCATCGTCGATATCGTCACGTGTTCGTCGG